TCTTTCAGGGGTTTTCCCCGGGTTCTTCCTCCACCATTTATACATGCGGCTATGAATAGCTTGTCTTTAGCAGAAAATGAAATTAAACCCTACAACAACAGCAACGGCTACCCCGCATTATGGAGAGATGTGTAATAAAATAGTGTAATGGCAAAGATTGGCAAAATTCATATTTTATGCTGATGATCATAATATCTACTAAATAAACAAGAAGAAATTACAACACAATCTGATTTCATGATATATTTAGTTGATGATATACGTGTAAGACAAAGGGGGCAAAAACTCTTACAAAAGAAATGCATACATATTTTAATGATGGCCAAACTTTGCTTGCTTATATTCAGGGCGATCAGTTAAAACCACGATTCTATTGGTATTCATAGAATATGCGATATTTGCCCGTTTGCTAGGATTAAATGCTAAATATAATGCAGTGACAGAAAAAGTACATACTTGCTCATATACTGGAGTGTTCTCGGTTTGTCAACCATAATATTACAATTTGCTCATAGCTTAACTTTCACTAGTGTAGTCAAGCATGCTTAATTCTTACATCATTACCCGACTGCGATATCAGGGTAGATTTCATAGAATTACCAACACGCAAACATTTAAGTTTTCTCCTGCGTTCCAGAAAAATGACGAATGCAAATCAACTGTAGTGAAGTTTCAAATTATTTATTCGTTTTGAGCCACTTTATTGTACTTGTGACAGGTTCCAATCATTTTATTGTATCAAATAACGTTTGATTTTATCGTCAAACTAACGCCATGCATTATTTACTGATGATATATATGTTGTTTATTGCATTGCATGAGGACCTGTGAGTTTGAAACTGAAAACATTTCATAACAATATAGAACTGGTGTCAGGATAATGTGACCCAGTGGGACTCCATTCAACATGCCTGCAGAATGATTCCCCAATGCTAGACATCACTATGAACTGCCACACTGCAGACATCGTAGTTATAAGACTGAAACATTGTTTAAAGCTATGTCAAAATCAGAATCATACACATACCAGTTTTACACTTTGCATGAACAATGCATTATTTAAAATTATTATATACCAATAAGAGATACATTTGTGTTTGCATGTTGTGGGCTATGAGCTGGAAAAAAAAGAATCAACTGCGAGACTGATGTTAATTTTTTCCGTAAACATTAGGTATTATTAAATTAAATTTCTAAGAAAAACTATTTGGTGGGATAAACCTAAAAATTTAATTGTACCTTTAAAATATTATATTCCGTTTTAATACTAAGAGAGTTATTAGATAAAATGGAAATAGTTTAAAAAATATATATTCAGCTACCTACGACTCAAGTTTCTGTGTTAATATTGTGAGAGAAAACCTTGTTAACATTTCAATTTCAATATTGCAGCAAATGCATCACATTGCAGTTGATGTACTTATCATTGTATCACTTTACAGACAATGAATACCTTTAGAGAATTGTCCCCTCTCATGGACATAAGACTAAATTATTTAAAATTTAAATTTAGATACCACCGCATATGTGACTGGATCTACCTTTATAATTTCCCTGACACTTCACATATGATTTTTAGGCTAGTAAATCCTTAAAAGCAACAATATAAATAACACGTCAAGGATCGTTTTATCTAGACACAATGATGTCATCAATGTGTGGTCAATAGACAATGTTAAAAGCATCTAAATGGACCAGTTAAGCTAAATGCTAAATAAATGTGACAGTTTTTGAGATAAGTTTGTGTTTGTTATAATTGTTGAAGAATCTCACAAAGTAATTGTTTTTGCTTTGGTAAATAACAATTGTGCGCATAATTGCTATCAACATTCTAAATTTATCTTATAATCATTTTATTTTTATATTTTGGAATTCCTGAAAGAATCAGGCAAATCACCACATTTAAAAATCTAAAATTTGAAAATTTACTGAATTTCGTTATCGTAAAATAATTAATAACTCATAGATACAAAGAAAATTGGCATGTCTTCCAAGAGAACATTTTTAAATTATTGCAATGAATTCTATCATTACGCAATCACTTGTTCTCATATTTTTGTCTCACTGCTTTGCACAGCAGTATGAGATTAAGCTACGCAGTTCTATGCGGAGCATCTCACTACATCAGTGCTATTCATGATACTACAAGCAGCAACATGGAGTATCCGTATCGTTATGATCATCGATTTAGTTTTGTATGCTTGCTTCCCTTGTCTGTTTTATTTTGTTGTAATAAAATGATAAAAGTAATAGAAAGACTTTCTTTAAGACGCTACACATTAATATAAAAGATCACAGCGAATACCGAATGTCTTGACGAATGAAACTTTGCGTCATTTTATTTTAGTCATCTATTTATTTTAAGCAATAGTGTGTATTTTCTTCAGGTATAAGAAGCAAAGGAAAATGTGGGTTCTAGACTATTACCCCATTTTCAAGTACGATTTACTCCTTTTTCTGACCTTATTACCATAACAATCAGAAAACGAATCACCGGTTTCTAGATCAAGCTTAATTAACGACCAATGAGAGACTTACTTGTCAAAATATATTTAGACACTGAGAAGTCCTTCAACGATATTTTCTACATTACTAAAACTTGGCATTTCTTACAAATTGTAACCTGCATTATGACCATAAACGAAATAACCAACTCTTACTTGAAGATGAAGCTTTCATCTAGAAGTCCAAATTTTGTCCTGCTACTCTATATGTTATGCAGACGAAGTTAATACCTCACATGCAATCATAAACGTTTCAACTATTGCTAACAAAAATATTTCATCGTCGTGATGATAAAGACTAAAGTTTACCACACCACCAACATAACGTTGAGTTTCAGAAAAGCTTTCTTTTGAGACCTAATAAGCCGATAGTTCTTATTAATAAATATAACTGATCTATCAAGGTCAATTATTTTTTGTTTCTTTTAGTCTGATAGAATTGTAAAATTTATTAATTTTTGACTATAATTCTTTTCTTAATTTTCAAATAATCAAAATATTTACTACCATTGGTACGAATGACCTGCTGCTTGGAATTTTATTATTAGCACTGAATCATATACAAGACATTCCATTGTTGAATCGAACAGTGAAATGCTTGCCATGCAGCATCAATCTTTTAATCTTCCTATTATTTCTATCTTTACTGTTAGATTTTCGAGCATTATTTGTATTGTTTGCACAAAATTTGACAATCATATCCTGCCATAGTCACCTAGTATAATATCTAGTAGAGATATTTTGTTACGACAATTGCCAAGTGCAAATATATCTATGCCATTTTGACAGTATCTTTTATCGTCAAAATTACCTAATCCATGTTTTATGTTTTCGTCTGCTTCAAGTTTGGGATAATTCAATCTTATAACATTTGTTTACATCCTTTTCACATCCTTTCAACTTTGAAATTGTCAAATTGCAAACACATATCTCTTATGAATACATTTTGCTTTTAGTAAGGTTTTTATCATCTAAAACTAGAGCATACATTTTACTTCTCAAACCAACAAACTCTTTCAACAGTATGAACATAAATTCGTCTTTCATTTTTCCAATAATCTTTTTTTTTCGGTTTCTCTTAGAAATTAGTATAGAGTTATAGAATGGAATCCATTACATTGTAATGGTTCTGACATAACAATAACCATATAAATTGTCATAGTGCAAGTAAATAATATGATCTGACTGTTTATAAACATCATAAATGTTCAAGTACTTATTATTAACAGCTGAGTACGTCTTTTTTATAACATTAGTACCACCTGCAATACCTTTTCCAACGAAGTTGAATATATCGACTTCAGTTAAAAGATATGGCTCGATATAACTCGTCTTTAACAGACCACTCCATGACATGCCAGCAGATGAATAGTAACAACAAGGATCCAATCCAAAATTGTTATAACTTGCTCGACAAAAGTTTTCAAAACCAGCAGGTAACAATCGGCTTTCAAATACAACAAAATTATAATCGCCAAATTACAACCAAATTTATCCCAAATTTCTTTCTCGTAAGTATTCTCATCATCTGTTATACTTTAATTTTCCAACTGCGAATAGAATTTATATTATCAGGTACGTAGGTTTCATCAAATCGGCTCCAATTATCGAGGTATGTGTTGTGTTGGCATCAATTAGTCTCGAGAGTAGATGGAAATGCGCCCATGAGAGATGTCCCAGTCGGTATTTATGCAAAGTCTTCTGTGGCCATGGAGCACCACATGGGAGTGGCAATCCTTGCTGCAGTTGCTGTGCTTGAAGTTTACGTCTAGTGTAAGTTGTATCTTCTTCTTACAATAAGTAATAATTTTTTCTGTTCGCTACAAAGATCTTTATCATATCCTCCCAGTAGATTCAGAATAATACTTCAATCCGTCCATGCCATTAGCGGAACTAGTGGAATAATTCCTCACTGTTTCCTTTTCTTCGTTGTCGTTCTCTTTATTAGTTGATCTTGTTTTTCCTGCTTCCATTATTTTGATAAAACTTCATCGATGACTTCCTCACTAGCGACAACTTCGTTGTCGTCATTGACAGCGGAACCAACCATGCATTTGTTTGATACTGCTTGGAAGCAACGTTTTTCTTTGGCTGCTCCTGATAATGCAACAACTGATGTTGCCATTCGCAGTATTCCTTGCTGCTTTGGATAGTGCCAGTCCAAGAATTCCGCCGTGTTGGACATCTCTATTACATTTCCAACTGATAATTTAACAACGACGATTTTAACGCTGCTTTACGATCAAGTTTATCAATTTGTTTTTTTTTTTGTTTTTTCACCGCTGTTCTTGGCGGTGTTGGTGAAGATTCTGGAAATATCATTTGGTTCATTTCTCTTGTTGTTTACTCGGTTTTCATTGTTTGATTATATCAAGTTTGTTTGATTATACTTGCAACTTTATTCTACCCTTTTCTGAGTCAATTGGTATGAATTGGTCGCTAAACGCAAGCGCAAATACGTTCAAAGGAGTTGCTGAAACTCTTCCAAGTGTCCAGCCGTTCATGTGGCCTAGTGTTTAGAGCGTCCGCCTCGGATGCGGAAGTTCGTGGGTTCGATCCCTGATCAAGTAGTACCAAACACTTAAAAAATGGAACTAATAGCTTCCTTGCTTGGCGCTCATCATTAAAGAAGTTAGTGTTAAGACTGGTCGGCCTGGTGTCAGGTTAATGTGACGGGGTGGTGCATCATGCTACATGTCTGAGGCATGATGCCCTAGTGCAAGACATCCCTATAAACTGCCACACTGCAGACATCGTAGCGATATGACTGTAAAAATGTTGAACCTACGTAAAAAATAATAATCACATCTTCCAAGTGTTCAAGTTACTTCTATTTCTACAGTTGAATAAACGAATCTTCGGAGTGGTTTGTTACGTCGAAGATAAAGCTTGGATAAAACAAACGAAACTCCACAATATTAATTTGTGTATTTTTATATCACTTCGACCAGGTACATATATGCTCTCGTAACTTTTTTTTTACCAGAGTCAGCTGCAAAATTGCATTGAATCGCTCGTTTTGGTTATTGTTTAGAGTTTAATCTGAGAAATAAATTTCTAAGGTCATCGTTGTCGAATACCGAGTTATATAGTTGTTGGCTACGTTGCGTTGTTTGCTGAAAACTGATAATATATGCCTTGGCAATTATTCATTTTGATTCGCTGTAATACGCCATGAGTAGTCTGTTGCGTCAGGAACATTTGTTTAATATATTTTTTGTTGATGAAAATAAATCTTTCTTGTATATGATTCTAACATTACATTAATCTATATCGACTTGTTGGTCGATGGAATAATTCAATCATCCGCAACACTAATTTTATAATCACAAATGTTGCATCTGCTTCACTAACAGGAACAAGACAATTTGATCTTCCCGATCTAGAGTGTGTTTTAGTCATCAAAATACCTTATTGCAGTTGCGACAAAATCCAAATATTGTGCTGAGCTGCATTATCATTGTTATTTTTGTAATTCAGTAGCAAGCGCCCTTTGTCCCTCATTATAGCGTTGTTGTATATTTGGAACGGCTAATCTTATTGTTGCTGTAAGTCAGAATCATCTGTAGCTCCAGCGCCATTAAGATTATTATTTGCTGTGTCAGAAACGCCATCAACAGTACAAAATTATCCCACCCTTATGAAATATCTTAGATTCACTAATACTGACAATGTAGTTAAAAGCAGTATATTTTAAAACAGTCCCTAGAAAATACACCAAGAAAACGTTTTGAACACGACTACCCATTTGTTTATTATTATCTTGGAGAAATTAAATTTAAGTATTCCAAAACGTAGTGAAACGTCTATTTGTTTGTTGTGTAATTTATTTTGCTATGTTTCTGTACATATGTACGTATCCGAGAATCGTTGTATTCTCTTCTAAGGTAAACATATAAATGCAAATATACAGAACATCACAATTCTAGTTTAGCCAATTTTGTTCATGGAGAAATTAAAATGACAGCATGTTTTATAATCAAAAATTATATAGAAAAATTATCTTCGCTTGATTGTAAACTTAAATACACCTATTAATAAGCCATGGAACTATCGATGTAATTTAGGCTTGGACTATGTTTTCAAGCATATTTCATTATCAGTAGGTTTATATGTATCGTAGAGAAAGAGTGATGTATTATAATCTTGTTTATCTATGACATCAAACTTGAAAATAATTGTCTTCTGTTTTAATTTGTCAAATAAAAGTCCAGCAGTCTAATCGTCTAATATACCTTATGCGTTTATTGTAGTGTTTTTTTTTTGCTGCGTTACCACACATTTGCACGCGGTATACAGAGCTGATTAGTGATTAACCTAGATGTAGTAGGCTTGCACAAACACTGGATATAAGAAACAGATAATAATAATAATATCCAAATAGAAGAATATTCAAATGTCTCTCATACATTAAATTTAGCCTAATGACTGTAGGTCAAACTGGGGCGAAAAAAAACTGATTGCGTTAATGAAAATGATATAAATAAATACCAGAGTAAATTAAGCCTAAAAAGTTAGTAACCGTAACCTCAATGTTGTATTCATGCGTTACTAATTATGTTGAGTCTCTACAACAGCATTTTCATTCTATATATCATCCGAAGTATTTCAGTAAAAATCCTAATTCTTTAAAATAAATATTATTTAAAAATTTTCAAGACTATTGCATATAGTTTGGTTCTCCTTGTATCATTTTCATTGTGAAACAAAATCCTGTAAATGCTTCGTAAAAACAATCCCCTATCACTACGAATATTCTTTTAAGATAAGTAGCGGTAATTTGTTTTCAAGTTAACTGTCAACGTGGAATTTGTTTTACCGCAGATAGTCCCTAGTTTCATTTCACACTTAAAATACATTGTAATAAGTCTTACACTAAAGGCACATGTATATACGACCATGCTTTCGAGTAAATAGTGAAATAAATTTTTAACATGGCTTTATTGGCAGCTTTATTAGATGACGAACAGAGTCTGTGTTAATTTAGGGGGACAAGTATGTCATAAAATGGGGGGGGGGGAACGCAGATGTACCTAGATTCTCAGGCGGACCATATTTGATGTCTTTGGAGTATGAAGGAGTGTATAATTAATTTAGCACTAGCTTTCCAGTTAGTAAAATCATTTAAATTTTGCCCTTGATTAATTTGATATTAAAGCAGGACACAGCGGACAGCAATATCAAATACAAAATCAGATAGCGTAATTCCAAATCATACAATATTCATGTCCTTAACATGAAACTTGACGATCGTATGCATTGAAATTTATGTTAGAATCCATGCTTTATGACCCTTATTGTAAACACAATTCTTATGAGGAATACACCAAAACAGGGTGTAATTGTGTATACGCAATGTTCCATGCGCAGATCGTTTCACAAACTAAAGCTAAGTGTGGGATGTGTCGGAGTAGTCCGGATGATGAAGTATTGTGGTACATTTTTGTTCTCTTGTCAAACCTCGCTCTTGGTCATTAAAATATCATTTTTACGGTAGAACGATATTTTACTTGTTTCACAAACTCGCCTGAACAGCACATAAGCCCTGATATGTTGGCAACAAATTTACCTAATCCCATATATAATAAGTATATGGTTACACGCGGAATCTGACTGATAAATACAAATTACAAATATGATTGTTTACGGAAGGGTGGACTGATGGACGGACGGAAGAATGTGGGGTTAACGATTGCTGACGGGAATTAACACTAGGCAAGGACGTCGCATGTTTTTGCTTTCTGAAGCAGTGCTCTTCGCCAGCATCATATTTCGTGCACTCCTCGCAGAAAAGATCACCAAACTACAGGAAATAGTAAGACCTGGATATGGCTAACTGGAAAGTCGCCCTTATCGCCGTCCCCTTATCAGAACTTTGGCTGTAGTTTTACATCGTTTTCCCATCCAGAGCAAAACTTCGATTTAAGATTATCCCTCCATGATAACAAAATGTAGATGACTTTGTATATTATTATATGAAACGCAATAGTGTCCTATTGCCCATGGTTAGTGATATACCATCCAGTACTTAGTCACCTACGCAATGTGCTATCAACCTAGTGTTGTGACCATAGACATACTATGACATCTGCACCGATTTATAGTATCCAGCACATAACACTAACCGATACACAATGTGAAGCAACCTCTATCCAAAACGTGGTGTGTAGTGACTATTACTCGGCCATTAATTATCCAACACCCATAAAATACAACCTAATCACTTCCTGCAGCTGCCAGTACTCTATAACTGCTATGACTCGCATGTGTGTATGAACATTTATTCATATTGTTCATCTCATTATTCCATCGCTACCTAGTGTTTCTATATCAGTGTTCAAACATTTCGAATCCAAATGTTATATATAAATTAAATTTGATTGGTAGTCTCAGAAAATTTTCATGCATTGTACTATTGTGATAAACAACTATAATCAATACCAGCTTCTATAACGATAACATATATACGAGCAAAAGCAATGAGAAACTTTCGAAACCTTACCTGAATGTAGCGTAGAATAAAACCCGAATATGTATATCAATGACGTAATCACTTTCCTATTTCATAAATAAACATAATGTGCAATGAAAGAAACTGAGAAAAACGCATTCTGGTAGAAACGACGAATACACAGGTTACTGATTGTTATCTATCTATCTATCTATCTATCTATCTATCTATCTATCTATCTATCTATCTATCTATCTATCTATCTATCTATCTATCTATCTATCTATCTATCTATCTATCTATCTATCTATCTAAAAACGCACTGTAATATTAACGGCGAATACACAGGTTACTCATTGTTATCTATCTATCTATCTATCTATCTATCTATCTATCTATCTATCTATCTATCTATCTATCTATCTATCTATCTATCTATCTATCTATCTATCTATCTATCTATCTATCTATCTATCTATCGGCCAACACAAATACACACCCACTCATACAGGCATGCATGCATGCATGCATGCATGCATACATACATACATACATACATACATACATACATACATACATACATACATACATACATACATACATACATACATACATACATACATACATACATACATACATACATACATACATACATACATACATAAAATCATGTGTGTGTCTATCTGCACATTCGCATTAAAAGAACATGTCTAGTTAGTATCCCGTTGCTTTGCAGCTTTGACACCAATGCCGTCTGGTAGTTACCTTTGACGACGACGCATAGACAACAAAAGTATATGAATTATACATGGACTGCAATATATGTCTACTATTTACAACAACAACAGAACATAGAGGAGGTACATAATGTCGCTTTGAGAATGATTGGTCAGGCTCTCCATTTCTGACTGGTACTCTGTGATGCATGTTGTACTTCTTTTGTGTATCAACCACTATAAAGGGATTACTAACTAGTAATAATTAGTTCAAATATATTGCTATTGAAACGGCGGATGGAAAATAAATCTACCAGTTCAAGTTTGCGCATGGTGGTTTGATGATCCCAAAAACGATGTATCTGTTGTACTTTATTTTCCTCTTTGAATTAGGGTGCTTTCTCTTTGTTGGTTTAGGTGCCGATTGCATTGAATTTATTGCTGAGAAACGCCAACGTGAGGGCTTCATGGCGAATCTTATGCCTATTACAGCCGACAGATGTGTTAAAATATGTGAAGACTTAAATGCATGCTACGCTGTTAATTACTTCAGGCTGAATGCTACTTGCCAACTTCTGAATCGAACTATGCCAGAATCCAAACTCATCAAGGGGACCAAATGGTTTTATAAGGCTGTCAGAAGTCCTCCGCAGGTAAGTATTACCAAATGTCCTTATAATTTATTATAGATCTTAAGTCTCACATTCTTTTGATGAATCTGTGCCAATTAACAATGTATTCTAGTAACAAATTCTTATTTCATCACCTGTCCTAGAATGTTTAACAGGTAAACAGAAGTCCTGCGCAGGTAAGTCTTGCAAAAGTATTATTATTATTATTATTATTATTATTATTATTATTATTATTATTATTATTATTATTATTATTTATTATTATTATTATTATTATTATTATTATTATTATTATTATTATTATTATTATTATTATTTTAAAGTGAAGGAGTCTGAAATCTTTTGATTACTCTCTGCTACTGCGAGTAAGAAAAAATATTCTCTTAAAGAATTCTTAATTTAAATACATATTCTACCACGCTCAAAAATAAACTGTAAATTATGTAAAGTTCATAAAATGAAATAAAACTGCTCAAACTAATTTTTTTAACATATGTATCTCAACTGTGATCACCAGAACTACGTAATCAATACATGTGTGTTTGTGTTCTCTAAATATAAATGAATATTACATATTTATCCCAAACCACCTCGTCAACATGTCTCAGTATTTGTAAAAAGGTATGAACACGGAATTGTAAGATTTATCCACTGATAAGCAATTCATGGTTTCCTCAGGCAATAATAAATTAATAAATGGCAATACAAATATTACCCAGTGTCAGATGATTTGACGAACGCAGGTTTATAAAGAATAATTCGAAAGATACGTCATAAATTTCATGTTGTTTTGGTTTTCAAAATTGTTTCATATGCAACAAATTTATTTGATATAGGAATCCATTGACAATGACGCCTGCTACAAGACATTGTGCACTTGGGATGAAATATGCATTAACAACATAACGACAAATTCGGCCAAATGTTACCCTTGTAAGTAAACAAGCAAACATGCATATATCTTAGAAGCGAGGAAAAACATATTTTTGAGCTTGCCCGTCTCTAAGAACCAATTTAATGTGATAAATATTGTCTATTCACTTCTCGAAATAATGATTTAAAAAATGCATACACGGATATGACCACTAATTAACTCCAGCATAATTTAACACACACTCTCCCTCTCTTTATATATATATATATATATATATATATATATATATATATATATATATATATATATATATATATATATATATATATATATATATATATATATATATATATATATATAATCCTAAATGTAATTAGTATTGTCACTAAGCATAAAGAACATATTCACTTATATTAATTCAAGTTAGTAATTTTACAGCAATAAAAATCACATGTGTTTCGCTTTATTTTGTGGAACTGTACTGTACTGTACTATATTAAACTGTACTGTGCTGTACTGTACTGTACTGTGCTGTACTGTACTGTACTGTACTGTACTGTACTGCACTGCACTGCACTGCACTGCACTGCACTGCACTGCACTGCACTGCACTGCACTGCACTGCACTGTACTGTACTGTACTGTACTGTACTGTACTGTACTGTACTGTACTGTACTGTACTGTACTGTACAGTCAAACGAATGAATCCTCATCCTGCATCTAATATATACTCGGAGCAGCCGTTCGTACAATATATTCTCAGAATAAAATGGAATACAAGATATAAAATAAACGTAAATATTGCCTTGATATCTACACACACACACACACACACACACACACACACACACACACACACACACACACACACACACACACACACACACACACACATATATATATATATATATATATATATATATATATATATATATATATATATATATATATATATATATATATATATATATATATATATATATATAACTGAACTCATTATAGATGGTTCTCCATTATTTGCTTAGGGGCTAGTGATAGAAATAGTGAGCAGAGATGATGCTTGATGTGCAAATACTTTTGAAGCAATATGTTGAACCATTTGAACCTGCCAAAAATACTATGCTGTGTGTACTACCAGCAACAAGCACCGTTGTAGCAAACCACCAAGGCATAACGGTCTAAACAATTAACTGCTCTGTTACTACGGTTTTATCTGTCGTTGCAAAAAGCGTGTTTTCTAAATCCAGCATTTTCTTTGTTTTTTTTTTTTACATGTGGACACATTTCAAGTTATACTGTTTCAAGCTATACTGTTACCTACACCTTGTGTTTATAGTTCCAGGGAACAGCTAATAACATATTTTGTCCATAAGGAGAAAAACGATATGCAATCTGACAATTGTCGAAGAAGTGATAAGCAACGAAATAGAATTGTACCAAAAGCAAGAAGATTTGTAATATAATGGAATGATATTATTACCCCTTTGCGATTACAATACAGAATTATATTCTATATTATGTTTGTATGTGTGTACGTATGTATGTGCTTGTTTGTGTGTACATACTTGAATGTGTGCATATACGTCGGTAGATAGATAAGTATGTTTGCGTTTGTGAATAGTTGTATATATGTCCTCTATTCACTTAGATCTTTTGCAAAAATGTACTCATTCAATAAAAAAACTGAAAGTACAAAAACAATCTTTCACTTCTTTAAATATACATCTGCTTTTATATCTATGGATGTATGTTCAAGCTTAAAATGGATATATCTGTAGCACATAAGTTCTTCTTATATATTATATTCCTATACTAGGCTGCATGTCTGTATAGAGACTAGCCATAGTCAAGCACTCCGTGTCGATAATGACGTATCAACGTGTTTCATAACGGCCATTTTCATCTTTCTTTTAGCAAATTTGACTTTAGTATCTAGCATAACCTTTCGTCCACCATTTTGTGTATTGAGCCACTATACATGTGTTGTTGAATGCACCTTTCCTAGAAAAATATTAAATTACATTTCTAACAGACGCTGTTCATATTATTTTGATACATGGACAATACTAATTGTGTATTATTAATGTTCGAACAGTTTGTAAAACCCCTCCAGTGATACCAGGGGCAATAAATGAACAAATAGAAATGGAAGTAGGACAGAACTACACCTACAGGTGCCAGGATGGTGTATTCGGGAAAAAGGATCAGAACCCAACAATAACATGTCTATGGGATGGTCAGTGGGCAGCGACAAACTTCACGTGCGGTAATGTAACTATGGATTTAATCGCATGACCATGGTGTTGCTCTGTTTCTTAACGATTAATATATTATTTAAAAATTATAATGCATATAAGTACTTTATAAAATCACAACACAGACATCACATCACCTCATGCAAAAGCACATTTTATTTTTTTACACCTTTTAATTTAGTTTAATCACCTATTCAAAAAAGCTCGCAAAGGATTCAACGGCGGAAAATTTGTAACTCTTCGATAAGATAGCATGACTTTAGAATCTAGCATAATAAAAATGTACATGCTATTTCAGTACAAAACAGACACATTTTAAGTTTACGATGTGGAGTGGTGTCACATTTTTGTTATGGTCATAGAACACAATTAATTTTACTATATAGTCACTACATTTGTTTCTCAGTACTGAACTTTCTACTGTGTGACAATCATATGTTAATCGAAAATACCTTCAAAGATGACTTTACGGTGAAATTCTTGTCAAGGGTTGACTTGTATTTTTTGAGAGGCTAAATTGTAAACAAAACACCATGCAACGGAACACAGATTTCACTTCCTAATCCTCACCTTGGCCTTATTACTCACTGTGCACTGTCGCCGAAATACACACAGACAACCACACCATAAGCTCATATTCTAAAGAATAAAAAATTGTTGTTAAATCCTTACCAAGAATGCCTAAATCTAACTCTTGTATCACCACCAAACGGAGACAGGAAAAATGATCTAAAATTAGACTGGGACTACATTCATGGGAACTGAACCGGATTTTATTAATTGTGTACTGATTCCTTATGATAAGATTAGAGAGGTTCCGTTGGTGGGCTTTATTAAGTCAGGGATAAAGTGTTTGTGTCGTTTACCACTACGAAATATTTCATCCTGGATGTTATATGTCGCTAAGCTGTTTGTTGAAAGTTTAACGAATTTGTGTTCACGAGCAAAGCTGTAGCATGATATTGCAATAATTAATAAGTTATTGAACACATCTGACTAATTGTTTTCAATGTCCAGCTTGCAAATTCACATATAAATGATCATTAAACATTGTGTTTGAGAGAGAGAGAGAGAGAGAGAGAGAGAGAGAGAGAGAGAGAGAGAGAGAGAGAGAGAGAGAGAGAGAGAGAGAGAGAGAGAGAGAGAGCAATAAATGAAATAAATATTTGGTTTTAGTAGCACGTATGTTCTTTGTTACTGGTGCATTGATTAATGAACGTTTGAATTATTTCTGTTTTAAGCTCCTGGGCTTGAGTGAACGCAATAGTTTTCTTTGGATTTCATAATTTCTATACTCCATTTTGATTTATGGAAGGAATACAACATTCAATGTATGACCTTTATTAGAGAGATGATGGGCGACAGGGTTCTAGTATACTTCACTAGTTTTACCAGTTTGATCTGTGTATAATTATTTTAATATATAATATATGCGTCTTTTAATATATTGGGATCCGCTCCGATAGCCTAGTGGTTAGAGCGTCCGCCTCGGATGTGGGAGGTCGTGGGTTCCATCCCTGGTTGAGTCATATCAAAGACTTACAAAAATGCTACTAACAGCTGCCTCGCTTGGCGCTCAGAATTAAGAGGTTAGTGTTAGAACTGGTCGGCCTGGTGTCAGGATAATGTGACTGGGTGGGACATTACGCTACATGTCTGATGCTTGATGCCCTAGTGCTAGACATAAATACAAATGACACACTGCAGACATCGTAGCGATATGACTGAAACATTTTAAAGCTACTTTATAAGCCATAATCACATCACAAATACTGGGAGCTACACACCTTGCATGTGATCAGGTAGCTCATATATTCTGTGTTGTATATTAAAATATGATTGCAAATGTTAAGCGTTTCACTGGTGGCGTTGCCAAAAATGAATGTGTTGGCACTTTTTGCATCTTTTTTCCACAACGTCTCGATATCGAAATAAACGATGCAAAACGTGTTAACGTATGAAGAAAAAAAACCTAAACATTTCCCTATACGATGGTGGTATGAATAATGTTTGATGAAGGTTAGAAAATATTTGAAATTCAAATTATTCTCTCAATGCAGCTAACGCGTATTGCATTTGCAAATACTTCTGTCTTTATCTTGTACGATATCAGCCAAATCCTGTGCTGAGCTCAGAGATGTCATCGATTCCATTTACATCATTACCACCAGAATTGCAGACTGCATAAAGCACTACCATAATGCAAGTTCAGTCAACGATAATTTTCACTATACATGTGGAATTTTTTTTAAATAAGCTTTTACTTGAAATCCACTTGATGTTGTATAGATTGTCTTTTAAAATACTTGTTTATGACACCTCATAGTTTGCTTGCTTATCTGCACAATGTACAATTTTACAATATATTAAGGTATGTATACAGCTAATTAGACTTAAATGTGGAAATTTAGCAAGCATGTGGCGAATTCAACATTTTCTTAATTAATATATTTCAAAAACTGTTTAAATAGATAACAAATATTCATTGCTTCTTGTCACTTCTAAATTTTTGATACTGTTTTCTGAAGATGACATATTAAGACAATGGATAAAGTTTGACTTAAATTTACTCTCTCTCTCTCTCTCTCTCTCTCTCTCTCTCTCTCTCTCTCTCTCTCTCTCTCCATCTATATTGTATCTATAAAGATACAATTACGGGTATACTCAACGCTGTAAGTTATTTTGCGTCATTTATGTACCCAAGAAATTGCTTCCATACGATTATAACATTTTGCAAGATTACTACTGTAGGTGTGTCTTCAAGGTTTGTTTTCATATTTAAACAGTTTGCACAACTCTTCCGTCGATATCAAGGACAATAAATGAGACGGCAGAAGTGGGGGTCGGACAGAACTATACCTACAAATGCCAGGATGATCTATTTAAGGTAGTTGATCAGAATCCGGCAGTCACGTGTCTACAGAATGGTAGCTGGACCATGCCAAGATTTATTTGTGGTAATTTAATAATTCTTTTCATAGCATGACTAGAGTTTATTCATAATAATTGTATAATTTCGCCTCATACACATTAGTTTGCTGCACAGTATCACGTGACCAATGACATTATAACATTATTTTAGGCAACTGCACCAAGTTGAGGAAATCAAATAAACTTCGATTCCTTTCTAGATACTATTGTATCTGATCAAACGTGATTCTTAATGGAATCACAAGATTGTTTATATGGGCAAAATTGAACTTATCAAACTTGCTAAATTGTTTCATCTTCTACTTAATATATTTTTATTCCTCATAATCGTCCTATGAAAAATGCACTAACTTAAGAAGGTTTGCAGTTTGCACTAAAATACAGGTAATAATGTGATTATGCATTAAATAATATCGCATTATTTCCCAAATGACAAGAAAATGACATCGCTTTGTTTTCCTCGAATATTAAAAAGAATCAGCTTAATATATGTTAGATGTTATTTGTATAAGGCGAGACGTGTTGTATTATTCCTTTATTCAAACGGAAAAATGAATAACTAATAACAAGCATGTAATAAAAATATAACAATGGCCCCCATCCCATTATTGAAATAAATAAATTATAATAAAGATGTTACCATTCGTGTCCATTCCTAAACAGAAATGTCCCCATATGTTATTAGCACATGAACACGACGTCCCAACTTTTGGCATAGTGTAATCATTTAGCAAAACTGTTCGACAGATGATGCTGGTAAACATCACTAATGTAACTTCGAACTATCTTGTTACTTCGAGCCCACGATAGCTGATGTTACACTACACTATTTATTTTAATATCTACAGGACCGCTTTCACGACGGACACAGAGGTATGTTTGGAGTCTTTCTAAATAGTTGTACATATTCATCACTTGACTTTGTGTGTGGTGATGACATGCTCACGACAGTCTATAATATGTCTTCATGTTGACTTGAACTAAGTAAAACAACACTTCGCAAAACTGATAACCTACTTGGGCAATATATATATATATATATATATATATATATATATATATATATATATATATATATATAACTGACATTGTTTCCGTTCAGTTTCGGCTGTGAGTAGTTCCAAGCCATTCAGTTTCTAAAGATAGATATTTGCATGCAAAGGCAAATCCCATAATTCCTCAATAGAAGTGATTGGTTAGAAAAGACAACTGGATGTTTGCACCAATACCGATACAACCTTTAATTCCAGGGTCAATCCGGGTTCTGTCTTAAATGTTGATGACAAAATTATTGATAAGTTAAACTTAAACTGCTGTTAAGAAGCTTGCACTTTCATATATTGCTCTCCATTGGCGAATTTCTTGATTATTAAGTTAAAACCGAAAACAAACGTTCACGCTAGTGACATTTCCAGGAAAGAGAGCGAATCTTCTGGGGAGTAGATTAATCATCACTGTATAAGTAAACGGACAATATGGAGAAAATCGATGAAACTTTACAGGCGATATCATCCACGTGCATGTACATAAACCTGGATCCAACTCGGAACTTTAGACGTGCAAAACACTGGTATTTGGATCTACTATAATATATTACATTGTACGATACAGACGTCCTTTCAGTTAAATATACATGTTGGCGGCTCTAAAATTCACACACTCATTAGTACCTGTTCAAAGCATTAAGTACACTCAAATTCGTTCTCCTCTGCAAAAATTAATGCTATTCTAAGTTGTTCTTCTTGTTTATTTGAATCGATTCCGAAAATAATTCACTTTAATCTGTATTCTGGAGATATATCCATGTTGAAGTTCACTTTCAGTCATTAATCCACAGAAGGATATTCTGCTACGAGCCCGTGGTATTCTCCTTTGCAGCTTATATGTATCATAATATGGGCATTATTTTTTCTCTGAAGTAGTATATATTAAATGGGTGGACTTAGTTCTCGTCTGTTTCCCCAATCACTTATAATTATAGTATTTCACATCGACTTCAGGCCCGCACTAACAACATCAGTTCAGATCTAAAATTCATATGATATGAGATAAAAAAGATTTGAAAATTAAATGCAAATATAGTGCACAATTATATATATATATATATATATATATATATATATATATATATATATATATATATATATATATATATATATATATAATAAACATCATACGACGAAGGACAGTCCTTTCAAATGCATTTGATTCAACAAAGGATCACATATGTCAGGGATTGATTAACAGAAATGCAATAGGCATATACAAAACAGAGACTGGATGAACAAATAAAATATTATATATATATATATATATATATATATATATATATATATATATATATATATATATATATATATATATATATATATATATATATATATATATATATGTGTGTGTGTGTGTGTGTTTGCTTGTTTGTATGAGTCTGGTTGCGTGTGTAATTTTATTGCGGGCAAATGCCATTGCTCGCTATATCGTAAAAGGCAGATTAACAGTCAAGCCACTATGATTGTCTAAGTTTTGTACATGATGTACGGGTAAATGTGTCGAAATTACTCTCCAGATTAGACTCAAATATAATGGATAAAAAACAATAAAGTTAGTAAGAAGTGATGTCGTATTCTAAACAAACATTAATGATTGAACTAATTTTCTAAGATTAATTAAACTATAATAACAACTTTTTAATATGTAGTTTTGTTATTACTTTAGATATTGATTGCAACGTTTTCGTAGATTTAAGACAAGAGTCAGAATTATATTGTTATCAGTAAATGTGAAAGACAGTTGCGGCTTCAGTATGTATGTATGTATGTATGTATGTATGTATGTATGTATGTATGTATGTATGTATGTATGTATGTATGTATGTATGTATGCATGCATGCATGCATGCATGCATGCATGCATGCATGCATGTATGTATGCATGCATGTATATATGCATGCATGCATGTATATACTAGCACAATCCATTAATGAAAAGTTAGTTCTATAATTGCCATAACTTAATTTTTTATTCGCATGCAGCGAAACAGAACTTGATGCAGGACAGAATCTATCCAAACAAAATATATAAATCTGTAGAAATCAGTAATGAGACGGGAATTGAAATATGGGAGTGCATGCAACAATGTGATGACAAAATGAACAGTTGTGTGTCCTTCTTTTATGATAAGCACACCAGCCACTGTGTGCTGTCCTCTTCATTCCGACGAGGTTTACCACAGGGTTTTCAATTTTCGGATGGGTTTGTCTATTTCACAGGCAAGTATTAGATAACTGTTATCCTAATGACGATGTACTAAAGACATAAAAGAGTATAAACTTATATCCAGGCAATACATTTCAATCTAGGAAAACAAATTTATTCCATATACTGAAGACTGCGTTGAAGTTTATTGTAATTTAATTAGCTTACTATTGAATACTTTATAAATCTGTCCACCGGAAATTTTTATCTAGTAAAATTATTCGCTCACATTCCCTGCGGAGTTACTCAACAATCGGATGGATTACTTGGATAAGGAAGTTATAATTTCAAAGCGTATAGCATAAAACAGTTCTTTTAAAGGAAATGAATCTAAATCCTAATA